CTGGGAAGTTCATCATAAACTTAACTTCAAATATGATTTTACACCTCACAAACAAACCAGTTCCACCTCTCTATTTTCTCGTAAGGTAGCACTGTAACTGGAAATTTTCTTCTCCCCATTTTTCTACTTTCCTAATATTTGTGATACAATGGACTATGGAATAATTTCTGAAAAGAGATCGAAGACCCATCCCTTTTCCTCTGACCAAAGACTGACCACTCCTCACATTTACAGGCATCAGAAACCATAGTATAAGAAATGCATGAATCAAAGGGAAAGCAATGTTTATCTTGCATTTTAAGCAGAAAAGAAATATGAGATATTTTCATACCTTTCACTGTAAGAACCCAAAACATAGAAACTGATGTCCAACTATGGAATTTACTATCTTGCAAAACAAGTTAAAGGTGTGCAAGTGGGAATTCTGTCAGAGAAGACAAGACAAAACGATACAATTATTCCAACTCAGAGCTGATATGCTCCAAGGTATACGTTTTCCCAAAATCACTGTAAATATGAATATTTTAGAGGTTAATATGAAGATCAAATGTGGAATGAATTTGCTGAAAAGATTAATATCTTTTCATTAAAATTGAGAGTGCACTATTAGTTCAGCATTTGCATTTAGATCGAGTAAGTAATAAGTATATTGACTGCTTAAGACACATATCTCCAAAATGGAAAATGTGGATAAAGAGGGTAGTGTCCATATGCAGAAGTGGACAAGCTTTTTCTATTTCCTACTGCTACCCTTTCAGAGAACTTAAACCCTTAAAATCAACAAGAACACTGTGATTTACTTAGCGCAGCAGAATGGGTTGAATCCTGCGAAGAACATTTAGGCAAGCATTCATTCCTTCGTGCGAGCAGTGCATTGGTGAATATGTATCAGTGGGCTGCTGTTGCCCTGAAGAACTGCTGGCCACTGTATGGTCATCCACCAGCGTATGGACAGGAAGGGGTATTTGCTAGCATCTATACACCGCTTCTCGGTGCGGTTGTTGAAAGCTTACAGCCACCTGGTTAGGCAGGAGGTTCAGCCAGCTCTTGCGTTACTATAACCAGTCCACATAAACATGAGCAGGTTTCTCATCGTTTATGGCATGCAGCGTTCAGCTGTTTCCAGGTCATAAATAGAGGGAAAGGTATATATGATGCAAATAATGGTAGATTGATCGATCAAGAGTGGTTGGAATGGTTATACAACGTAGCACTGGCTTACTGAAGTGGTGGCGTGGCATGCACAGGCACACTGAGCGTCAGTCTCGATGGAGAGCATACATTTCATTTAACTGAACCTAGCCCAGGGTTTCTCAGAATCACAGAATACGTAAATTGGTTTTCTTGAGGTGTTTGAAAACATATGTGACAGCATGTAGTCCAGCATGTAACAGATACCTCAAACTATTTGTTAACTTCCATTCAAATTAAGCACAGCAGTTCCTCTCAAAAGCCAAAGCATATTACTCCTCAAACTGTGAAAAGTAAAGTAAATATTTCACTTCAGCAACTGTGGTGGCAGCACTCTTCCAGTACTTTAGTCCTATAGAATTTATACAAATCATACAGCTACTTTCCTGCAGAGCAGAGGGGTCTCTAATACTGGCAAAACAGCATTGTGGGTAAGCAGAAAAAACCATTACTGAGCCATAAAGGAAATTTAGGAGTTGATTCTATAAGTACAAGCATTTTCTCCTCCTATGCACATGAGGAGCATTGTTTTTCTTTCACTGCAGGGAAGTATCAATTTGAAGTGGAGTCTCCCTCCCTGAAATACAAAATTAAGGATATTTACTCAAGGTTTCCTTCCTTTTTTTTCTTCTTCTTATCATTTTTTTTTATTCTTTTCCTGTTGTGCTCTATTTTGGGGCATTTAGACTATACACTTTGACGGAGGGCATCCTTCTCCTCTGAATTTATGAATCAAAATGTATTCTCCAACGGATATCTGGAGGTATAATTTGCCCCCTAACACTCTTCAATCTTTATTGCTGACACATTCAAGGATGCCTAACTCCCACAAGAAAAAAAACCTCACATTAATCTTCAAGAATATGTCCTTACCTGCCTTCTGAAAATGAAAATGGATGTTCTTTGAGAAATTATCTGAGTTTTGCTGTAAACCCTGAGGATCATGAACTTTTGGAAACAATTTTGAATCTAAAAAATTTCTAACTAGAACCAGGCTGGTAGATTCAGGCCATACAAATCCTGCATGGTGCTGTCATTCCCTGGAGGCCCGAAGCACTCTGCTTTCCTCAGTAGATGTCAACAGAAACCAGCTGCACTCAGCAGCTTGCTGGACGTCATCTGCGGGGTTCCTACACACACTACTTCTGCATACTGGAGACTGACTTATTTTGCTTAGCGCCTTTACAGGTGATACACTATGGAAATAGCTCCAAAGCACACACACTCACCCATCCGTGCTAAATCAAACACTCATTCATTTACTACCAAGTTAAAAAAATAACACTGCTAGTTTGGGATCCAAAAGCGAACAGGCAACTCAAAGAAAAGACCTAAGACAATTTTTCTGTTTCTAGACAGTGCAAGAAAGAAAACAATTCTAAAGAGAGAGAGTTATGCCTTTCACATTAGGTATTCCTTCTGCTGCCTTATTCACGGAAGAGCTTTGGAATAGCCTTGAAGGACAGGCAAAAGCATTGCTCTCTCCTGTTCACAAATACTGTTTCATGTGGTCTTTGTCCAACCTCTATCGACATTTTTGTGTCCCCTGATGTGCCTAATTACAAGGCTTTCAGGGAAAGATCGTTTCTTTGTCTCATGTTTCTACAAAGCACTTTCATAGAAGATTGTGTTAAATAGCCAAAACATTTAAAATCTACAAAAGTTCACCAAAGAAAATACAGTAACAATAAGATACCAAAATCAGGTGATATTCTACAGAGGGGCAGCAAAGAGTATTCCCTTCTTCCCAACAACTTTTCAGCATCCTGAAAGTCACTTCAAGCCTGGTGATATGCAGATACCTTATTGCCTATGCAGGCAGCTAGAGACATTTCCTCCTCCAGATGTAACTCCTGTCTCTCTCTACCTGAGGCCGACAATTCTTTTACAGTAATTCAATTTCATAAGCTGCATAGAAATAAGTAAGTTACTTCTATAGTATCAAGTTTATATTGGTACCCAAAACATTTCAGAACAGGATCATTAGGCCACTTGCCCCTAACAGCTGCTATTACAGTGAAAAATAGAAGTTATACATCTTTGACCATGAATGGCTGACTCCACAGATCTAAACAGGTAGGTATGACTACCAGTTTGTACACGACACATACATAAGCAGGAAGGGGGAGAAGAGATTGAACCCACAAAGATGACAGAGAGCAGAACACAGAGCATATTGTGAAGAAATGGAAAACAAGACTTTTCCCCAGGCCTTTCACCTGACAAGACAATATTAGAGTGGACTTTAACGCCAAATAATGCTTGTTTTGCAAAATACAATGCAAATAATGCAGCCCTTCATTTTGGCTCATAAAACACACAGCATTTGCAGCAACAACAAAAATTACTTCACAGTTTCAACAAGACTGCAGCTTGCCATGTCACTTTCAAAGTGAAGGTATTGAATCGACAGTTATTAAAAATGGTGAGCAATTCAGAGTCTGCTTTCAGGATATACTACCCAGACAGTAGTACATCCTGAAAGCAGGCTCTGAATTCTTGCATGGAGACAATATTGTTATTTCATGAATCACCAGTGACCTTTGGAAGATACTAAGAAAAGCAGGCATGTTCATTCCCTTCCATTGATTTTCTAATTTTGAGTAAATTGGTTTAATCTGGGAAACGGTTATCTATTAGGAATGAAAATACCTAAACTGACTTTAGAAAACAGTATAAAGCTTTTGAACTGAAACAAAGAATTGAGAAGGGAAACTTTTGGGCCAAAAGGTAGTGATCTTATAAATCTTATCTTGGGCACGATTCTGTGGCCAGACACACAAATGTGAAAGAATTGGAATCTCTAAACCTAAAAGACAGATCTACAGACCCAGACCTTACTTTTACTGCACTGTGTGTCTGGAATATGTGCCTCGTTTTCCCATTAAATATCTGCTGTTGGAAAAGCCTGAAGAAAAATTACTCTCCTAAAATGGGAAGGGGTATGGACATCATTTTCATCTGGTTAAAATGAGAAATAAAGTGCTGAATAATGAAAATATTGGACAGTCCTGAATCTAAGCAACTTACAAGAAAAGTTCCATAAAGGCCAACTGCATCCTGGCCGGCCTCAAGAACATGGTGATTTATAGAGTAACTGTTTAGGTCATCATTTTATTGGTGCCCAAATGTCATATATTGTGATAACTAAACCTTTGTCTTAACAGATTGTCTCTATTTTATTATGTTATGAACATGAAATGATTATACCTCAGCTTTCTTTGCTATCAATTTATGCTCATAATGTTAACTATCTATAATAAACATAGATTTTGGCACTACCATAATTCACCTTAAAATCACATGCAAGCTACCTGTGTCTTTACTATTCCTTTGTAGTATTTTCATTTTTTGCCTATGAGGTAACAAGTTACTTAGTCCATTAAGTCCATAAAAATAAAATTCTACAAAAGGATTTAAACAACGAACTGTAACAATCTCATAGCAAGCTATATGCACAATTAGGTTTGGGTTTTGTTGTTGGGGTTTTTTTTGTTTGTCTTTTTAACTTCCAAACCATCATTTGGTTACTCTAAATTGAATCCCACTTATTCCCGAGATCTTTGCTCTCATCATCCAACACTAAATGTCTTCCCAGAAATTATGAACTACTAAATATATAAATATTGATCAGAGCACATAACTTCTTAAGCCCATGTAAAAAATAAACAAACCCCTTACAGGCGCCTCAAATTTGAGCATCTGAATCCCCACGTGTGCAATACTCTCAACTCTTTTCACAGCACAGAAGATGATTACAGGAACAAACATCCAAACGTCAGGCTGGCAAGAGGAAAACTTTCACTTACCTCACGATCCAGCAGTACAGGTGACACCACTGTAACAATATCTCCCTTCTCTGGGTCAATATAAAACATATTTGGAGAGGGTTTGGTAGGTGTTTGTTTGAGGATGTTATACCGCAGAAGAGCATTGTCTGTGCTAGCGTCATCAGCATCAAATGCTGTCATACGCATCACAGTCGTTCCTAAGGGAAAGATGGACAGACAACAGAAAGCAGTTAGCAAGAACATGTAAAATTAGGCTGCCTTCACACATGAGAACCAGGTGCATACAATACATAATTCTCTCATTAAGACCACTAAGTAGTTTCATCTGATATTTAGTCTGTACCTGTGTTATATTTTAAGTTGCCACTGAGCCAACAACCAAAGACTAGTGTGCCTGGTTGGCAGCAGATGTGACTAACACAAGTTCCCCATATCTGAATGCTTTGTTGCCACCCATACTGATTGGATTGCACTAAATGAACTACAGATGCATCTTTTTAACTTTAAATTCTACAGGCAGAAAGTCTAAAGGCTATTTATGATGAAGATGACAACATTGAAATAAGAGAAAAATCTTTATTTTCATTTCAAAGTTTTGCACATTTTCAGAATTGCTTGGAAATTATAATTTCTGTCAATAAGAAATTTTGTAGCAGTTAAAGCCTACATTATTCTAATTTCAACACTCACAAATTTATGGGCTTATTTTATCAGCCTCAATTAAAAAAACCCAAAACCAAAGAGACCTCTATTGCCAGGATATCCTTTGAGTGACAAAGTGTTTTTTAATGTGAAAATCCTATAGCATATGGTTCTGCTATCGAGTGCTGTAAGGTAAACGCTCTAAGGTACTCTGTTACACAGATTCCTAACTGATGCACAGAGGAAAAAACTCGGTCATCTTTACATCACAGTTAATACAGGAAAGATTGGATGCTGCCAATTTTCTACTCAGCTAGTGGAACACACTCCTGCATCACAGGATCTTTTCCTCTCCCTCAGCACACCACAAGCTGACATAGCCCACGGACTTATGTTATAGCATCCTTTTATTTGTCTTGTACAGTACGACGAGAACCAAAGAAAGGAAGTCTGAACCAGGAGATATTCACCCCTCGACCATTATGATTTCTTAATCAGTTCATTTGTAGGTATAAAGGTAAGCATTATTTAAAACAAACAAACAATCAAACCAAACAAACAAAAAACCCCAAAACCACCAAAGTAATATATCATCACACCAAACCAAAATATTTCTGGCAACCATGACCTGAAGAAAGAATAAAATCCTACCAAATAACAAAAAAGTTATGGTTTCAATGGTGTATCAAAGTTAGGCAAGATAATACAAATGGTATCTCAAACTTCACACAAGTAAGGAATCCAGGCAAGTGTCCATTCTTTTGCCTAAAAATCCCACATAAAACCATTTATTATAATCCATCAACTATATAACTTAAATTTAAGTAGATAATACTATTTCAGTGATAAGTTAATGTGAGAACCAGAATTGTAAGTGGTTAATTATAATTCTTTGTTATAGATTAATTCTTATGTGTTTGCTAACCCTTTCCTTTTCCCCACAGACTTTCAGTGAGCAAGTATTATTTTAAAATATGATGATGATGATAAATATTTCAAATACAACATTTTCATTTCCGAACAGGTCTGTAAGACCATATGATCTGTTCTCAGCATCCACATAGCCTTTTGTGGCAAAATAACCACAACCGATTAAAACCTCCTGGTGCAGACAAGGCCCAAGACATTACATCAGAAATGCCTGCAGAGCAGAAATATGTATCATTTATGTACAATAACAAGCAGTGAGTTTATATTCTTTGTGAAGGTCTTGAGGCACAGATCACTTAAATTTCAAATAAAAATGAAATATTATGGTAAAAGTAAAAGAAAACCCAACTTCGTTTATAGCCTGGCATAACAACTGCCTGGGTCCCTGTTAAACAAACACAGGAACACTGGCTTGTTGTGTTTCTTCTTTTTTCTTGTGCTCTACTTCCCAGAGTACAAAGTATTGCCTCTTGTTGCAGTGACCTTGAATATAAGCTCTCAGAGGTTTTGCTTCATTGCTACTTCAGGCAGAGTTACCCCCTTGAGAAAAATAACAGAGATCTGACAGCATGTTGGTTTTATTCACAATTGATTAAAGGTCAGACAGCTCACAAAGCAGCTTACCACTGGATACCATGCCATGTTTTCCAATATCACAAGATGATCCTAGCCCTGAGATTTTCACCTACTTTGTTTGAGACTTCTTCAGAAGCAAAAAGAAAAAAGAGCAGCTTTCTGTTTTGAAGAATGAAGATCCACTCTCTTTTCACAGGTCCAACACACTGCACTGTTTTTTAGATATTTAGTACATTTCAAGAAGATTATTTATATTCACTTAGATAATGCATTACATGAACATCTAAGTCACCGGACTTCAGTGAAATAAGTAAGAATTAAGGCAGATCTTCAAGGGATCTTAAAGAGTGCCCAAAACCAAGTGAAATTCAATGGGTTTTGGTACACAACTCTTTCCTACAAAATGCAATTTATTAAGATGCTATACTCAAGTACATTAGACTATTTTAAATGTATATACAGTTGCAACCATTATTAATCTGTTGATGCTCAGCAGAGATTCAGAAACTGATTAAAATATATACTCCAATAGAAATCCTATTTATACAGTTGTGCTAGACAGTTCTGCTGAATTATTTTTGATTATAAGAATGTGAAAATCCCTTGGAGATTTTAAGATCTGATGTAAATCTCCAAATGTCTAGTTACTCTAGCATAAAAGTGGCTTAATATGATAGCTGAATCTGATTCTGACTTGCCAGCTACAGTTCTTTAACCTTTCAAGTCACTGGACATTATCATTCCTCTAGTGCATACAGATAAGAAATTCCAGCAACTCAGGAGAGTAAAATGTTATATTCATTTTGCATAGAGAAGCTAGCTTCAGGAGGAAAGCCGTAGAGAATTAGATGCATTTGTTTCTGTGTTGCTTCTGTCAAAAGTTTTGAGATACTGGTTTCTAACTACCATCAAAGTGCCATTTACATTTCAGCAAAAGTTAGTTTATCCTGACAAGTTCATGTAACATGTAAAAAATGTACGTAAGATTTGGGGTTGTCTTTAGATGTCATTATGCACTGGTACTGTCTGTATAAGGTCATACCTGTTTTCTGTTCATGAACATCAATACAGAAAACTACCCTTCTTTCAGCATCATCTACATGCTCACATCACTAAAAAAAACAGAGGAGCTGCTGACTACTGCGGCTGAAAACAAACGAGGACACCCTTGCACTGAGTTGGAAGTTGGTGCTGGACTTGTGCAGCCGTGCTGAGAATGGCTTGTCCTCAGAAACATACCCTTTGCACTCAAGCTCCCAAGCAGGTTTGCAAAGTAACCACAGTTCAATGCTGTCCACTCCTCTCCAAGGGCAGCGGTACCTACCCTATGGTCTATTCCATTAAAACAAAACAAACAAAATACTCCACACATACACAAAAAGCTGGAATGAGCCAGTATTTGTGGTTGCTGCCTCAAAAATCACAACAGCTAACCCAGTAGCTAAAATACGTTCTAGGGACCTTTTGAAGGAGTCTGATAGGTATTTCCAGGGAAGAACTTCCCTATCCTAGTTGAGGTATTCACAGAGAATACATGACCATACTTTTGGGATTGGACCACCACGAAAGACGATGTTTATAGAGATTGCTTTCCTAAAAATACAGTGACACAAGTTTTTATTTTAAAAGGCTCTACAGCATACATTTGGTCCAATGGAGTTTAATTCAAGATGCATGCTTCCTCAGCATTACTCCTTCATCATAAAGTTTTATTCTTCATAAAAGATTCATTTCCCCAGACCCATAAACTGACTACTTCTAATTCAGTGTCATTTTATAAATACTTCCATTCCTGGCATCAATCAAATGCAGCTGGCTTTCAAACCACAAAACAACAGCTTGCTACATTATCATGTTAAACAATATATATTAACTTATCAAGCTGAGGAAGAAATGTCTGCAAAATCAGCAACTTCATAGTTCTGCCGATGATGTGCAGATACTCATCGAGGCAGTCTCTCTCAGAAAAGGTATAATTATGCCTACATGTATTTCAATATTCATGGGTTATTTGTCACACCTTCTGGGCAGTTTCACTATTACCATAATCACTCAAAACCTCTACTTGCACCTCCCAGAGTTCCTCATTGATCAGACATATGTCCCACCAGCTAAGTGATTGCTCACTTGGCCTGTAAGTTGGCTTGGAAATATTGGCAAAACACTCCCCTTAGGCATTAAGAAGTAAAACACAATGCTTGCACAAAATTGTGTGATTGGAACAGATGGTTTCTTGGCAAAAGCTCTTGGCATTTTGTTATTTACCACTTAATAACCTTTCTATTTCCTTCTTTCTTTTATTTTTTGGGGGGCTTTTGCCTTTTTTTTTTTTTTTCCCTATGTCAAGATGTCAAGAGAACATCAGGAACAGTTCAGCTGATGAACGAGACTGCTACTAACCTCCTATCCCTTTTATTTATTTATTTATTATATTCAAATGCCAGGTTTAGAAAAAGGACTAGAACATAGTGGAAGCGAGTCCTATTTCTAGCTTGATTAAATACAAAGAAGTGTCTTAAGCCTACACCCTTAAGAGAAGACTCTGAACTTGAATAGTAACATTAAAATATTATCCAATTTAAGGACTCAACAGTTTTAACCTTGAGAGTCACAGTGTTAAAAAATTTCACACTGGAGTTTTCTCCTGTTATTTTCACTCTTTTTGTGGGTCTCCGCTCTACGTGCAGGATGTAAATGTTTTCTACATGTCCTACAGAAAGGGAAGGGTCTACTTTCCTTATTAACATGACTGGATTGCTGAGTTTTATATCCACCTTTTTCACAAGGTCAGCTGTACCTCTGTACATTGACTGTAATCAGTTGCACAATGTATTTTAACCCAAGAAGGAGAACAAAGAATAGAAAATGGGATAAAAGGAAAAAATCAAAAGTTACCTATATCTCTAGAATACATTACTTTTATTGCTATGTTAAAAAAGAGGCACCAACTTTCAGAAAATGGAGCAAAGTAGGATACCTTCCTGACTACAATGCTCATCGTAACTAATTACATGTTTGACTGTCATTTTGTACTTTAAAGACAACAAGC